TATATATATATATATATCAACAGAAAGCTCTAATCACAAGGATTTTAAAGACATCCATATTGCTTAGGTAAAACCCAACTCTACATGAGAAATCTGCAATCAAAATTTTGGCCTTTATAAACCAAAGGTCTTTTCCGTTATTTTTGCTTTACGGTTGATAGGAAACAAAAATGTAGAAATTTTTCAATAATAGCTTGTTCACACATTATCAAACTTCAGATTCCCATATTATTCAAAGAAGAAAAGTTCATTTTGTTACCCTAAGCTAGTGTGGTGCAAAAAAGAGAAAAGTTCAAAGTGCGGAAGATTTGCCTGAGATGTACTTGTAGTACGAAAATAAGGTGAAGATAGCATTAATTAACAAATTGTTGAAACCTATATTATACTCCTAATTAAAAGATGCATATACTCTCTCTTTTTCCACCAATTAATCTCTAATGAAAATACTAATTACCTGAGTGGGTAAAATTAAAAACTAGTCACATACAACATATCAACAGAAAGCTCTAATCACAATGATTTTAAGGGCACCCATATTGCCTAGGTAAAACACAAACCTTTGTGAGAAATCTACAATCAAAATTTTGGCCTTTGCAAATCAAAGGCCTTTTACGTTATTTTAGCTTTTCGGTTGTGAGGGGGTAGAAATGTTTCTTAGAATCTATCTCCGCCCTATTAAGAATCACTCCATTTCTCAAGCCCCCAAAATTCCACATGACTGGGTTGAAAACAATTTGCATTCTGTCATCATACCAACCCTGAGTAAGTTGTCAAAAAGTCACCCTACCTCAAATATTATGTAATTATGACTAATATTTGACTAATCGAAGAGGGCCACGTCCCACGTTGCGAATGTTCTCTTCAACGTCGTTTAGTTTTTTTTTTTTTTTTTTCATTTTGGTACATCTCTTCAACGTTTAATTGTCACACGGTAGATCCTATAAAACGAATCTCATAGAATTTCGAATCTCACAAATCTCACAAAATTTCACACTACTTCATCTTCTTCCACCTTGCTAGCACAAATGGCTTTGGTTTCAACTCAAAAATTGGCAGCGTATTCTACTTCTGCCCGTGGAAAGCTTACCTTACCACAACATGTGGTTGGGAAAATACGTATGCTTTTTCCTCCAGCACTGCGAAATGCAGGAAAGGCAGAATTGATTATGTTTTTGGAGGACCCTAATGAGGGTAGTCTCCCGTTTGTGGTAACCGCGTCGCTTCAAAAACTTAGGAAAAAGGGGGGAAATTGTGTGAGAGTCGTTCTCTTGGAGAGTGGGTGGATGCCTATTGTTAGGAAACTTCAACTGGAAAAAGGAGACACGGTGAGAGTTTCTCTCTTAAATAAGATGCCGTGGACTTATTCAATTGATGTGGAAAGGGTTCCAGAGGCCGGCCAAATTGATGCTGATGCCATGGATGAGGATGTAGTACCGGAAGAGGCTCCAAGAAGGATCATATTTGACCTGAACGAGCCTGCCCCACTCGACATGGATCCGAACCAACCGAATCAACAGGGAAGGATGATGTTCGACTTCGACCTCAATGAACCGGCACACCCCGACATGGAGACCAATCGCAACGATGAAGACTGAAGGATGGGAGCAGGAGAGTGAATCGGTATGTTATATATATGCTGAATTACTGATATGTTAATGGTTAACCGTTATCTTTATAATTTTTGTATAGAGAATATCCCTCTTCTTCCCTTAATTCATTTTTATTTGTTTTAAGATTTAAATTTGAGATCGAGTTTTAAACTCGATCTTACCCATGCACGAACGTGAGTTCGTTCAATTTCTTTGGTTGTCATCCTTTCTCAGGTTATTTATTTATTTATTTATTTATTTTTTTCAGGTTCTTTTTGGACTGCTTTGGAGATTCACTTATACGACCGTTCTACTGATGTGGCAGAAGTGTTATTTTCTTTTAGCATGTACTAGTGTTAGTGCTGTTGTCGTTGTTGTTCTTTGTTTGGAATTGGGTTTTTTTTTTTTTAATGTTTAGGATTGGTTGCTTTTTTTTCGATGTTTGGGACTAGTCGCCTTTTTATTTTATTTTTTTTATTTTATGTGTGTTTGTGATATTTTATATCTGCAATAAAGTATTTATTTAAAAATGAAAAACCTGAACTTAGATTTTCCTTTTTGTTTTTATGGGAATTTGGATTTCTTTTTTCGTTTTATCCGTTTTAAGTAATTCAACGTCGTATACAGACATGATGGAGTTTAATTTAATTAATTATTATATAGCTTTCCAACTGACTACAAAGTCCACATCTGGGCCCTGGTGTTGACCGAGAATTTCTCAGGCGATCGACATTTACTTTTGGAATCAACTTCGGCGATTTGTGGTCGGCCGTGGCCGGTGAAGACGAAAATTCCAGTGAGATAACACCGAGAGAGTTCCCGACCTCCACAGATCTAATGGGCAATGCCTGCCGGCCTATAGAAAGTTTAGTAAAAGGTTCCGAACCAAAAGGAGTTGGTGGGCGAACACGTGATAGAGTATTACATATGATTTGAAATGTCAGCTCTCTTTTTATTTTTTAATAATTTAATAGGAGAAAGGGAACCACTATTTTATTGCAAATAATGTTTGGGTTTTCGTTTTTCCGAGCTCTCAGAGCGTTCGTCCGCAGTCATGGCTCTGCTAATTAATCTTTCGGTTCATTCTTCGCTATTTTTCCTTCTTTTCCACCCGTTTCTCACACTTTGCATTTGATTTCTTTTCCATTTAGTGTAGTCTTTGTTCAATTTTCGAAAATTCCAAAATTATTTTTGCCTTTTTTTTCCCTCCAGTCAAACCCTAATCTAAATGAGGGGTTTTTGCTCTGAATCCAATGAGAGTCTTTCTGCTGTTGATCTGGTGCTGCCTAAAGATAAGGATTCGAATGCTTCAGTCGAAAGGATCTGAGCCTTCATCGATAATGGTTTGGTTACTGGCAAATCGAAGGAGTTGTGCTTGATCTCTAACGCCGGAACTAATATCGATCTTTGTAGATTCAACAAATCGAATCGATCAAGCCATGCTTATGGGGTTTCTAATTAGAGGAGAAAGCTCAAATCCTTCCTGGGCAATGGTTTGGGGGAAGGTGAATCGCTGGCGGTATGTTTGGTTACCTGCGCCGCTGGAAGGGTTTTCTCTACTGATTCGATGAATCAGTTTGCGTTTATCACTAGCCTGAGCAGGAAACAGGAGGTTTCCTTCAGTGCCACTTTCCCAGATTTCCTGATCGACGAGTTGAGATTTTCAGCAATCAAATATGAAGATGCAGTTGAGTGGTCAAACAGTAAGTGACTAAATCAGTGGCTGTTAGGTATGCTTGGTTTGCTCGAAATCCCTGGATTGTGTTAATTGTCTGGAATCTGATTTATTCGGAATATCCTGAATTTCCTTTTCTTGAGCCTGGAATGTCTTTTTTTTAAGCATAAAATATGAACAAATTAAGTATATACATATATATATATATATTTATATTTATATGAAAAAAAAAATGTCAATGATTTTTAAAAAAA